CCCTTCTCCATCTGGGTGAATGGAGAGCGCCTGGACTCGCTGCTGGAGCGGGACGAGCGGCAGGAGCGGCAGCTGGAGGACCTGGAGGAGAGGTTTGGTTTGCTGGAGGACGGCGTGGACGACATCTTCCAGGACAGCACCCAGGTCTACGGCCGCCTCCACCCCTTCTTCGCCGCACCCTTCGGAGCTTTCCGCGAAGCTTTCCGCCCCCCAATCCAACGCGTCCGCCTCGTCCCCCCTGGCCGGAGGTTTTCCCGGGACCTGCACCCCTTTTTTCAGCACCCCCACCACGGCTTCCACCACCTCTTCACACCCCTCTTCGAGATGACCCAGCGGATGCTGGAGGATGCCCAGGGTGGCTGGGAGCGCCCCTTGGGTGGCTTTGCTCCAGGTAAAAGTGCCTCGGGCTCCCAAAATTTGGCTGGAAATGACCAGTTTACAACCAGGTTTCCTAGTAACACCCCTCCCTCTATTCCTTCCTACTGGGGGATGAGCTCAACCCCGCTACGAGACATCAGCGAATCCCCATGGGAGCCCAGCAATCACAGGCTCCACCCGTTGCCGGGGTGGGGGCCCGGCTCCCCGTTTTGCTGGGGTGGGGTTTTTTTGGGTTTTTCCCCCCCCCCCCCCCCCTTCCTCCCCTTCTCTTCCCCAAATTTTTGGCTGCCGTCACCGTCTGCCAGCGATTTCGAAAGAGAGGTTGGCAGAAGGTGCTTTGCTTTGGGAAAAAACATCCTGGGGTTGGACAAAATTGCCCAGAAAAAGCAGTTTTATGTCCCCCCATAGCACCCTAGGGTGGTGGCCCCTGCTGCTTTGTCCCCAGATTGGGGGGGGTGTGTGGTGTTTTGGGGGGACTGTGTGGTGTTTTGAGGGGCTAAGGGTGGGTTTGGGTCCCCGCAGAGTCCCGAAACTTCAGCGACGAGCGCATGGTTTGCCGGGAGATCCGGCGCAACTCGGCCGGCTGCCTGCGGATGCGCGATGAGTGCGAGAAGTGTCGGGAGATCCTGGCCGTGGGTGAGCCAGGGGGGGACAGGGACCACTGATGGGGGGACCATGGATGAGGGGACCACAGATGGGACCCCATGGACAGGGGACCAGGGATGGGGACTCCACGGATGGAGACTCCATGGGTGGGGACCCCACAGATGGGGGGACCACAGATAGGGACTCCATGGACAGGGGACCAGGGATGGGGACCCCACGGCTGGGGACCCTATGGACAGGGGACCAGAGATGCATGGGGGACCACGGATAGGGGGGACCCCATGGATAGGGGGGACCCCATGGATAGGGGACCAGGGATGGGGATGATGCATGGGGGACCGCACAGATGGGGGGACCACGGATGGGGACCCCATGGACAGGGAACCAGGGATGGGGATCATGCATGGGGGACCCCGGATGGGGGGACACCATGGATGGGGGGACCACGGTTGGGGACCCCATGGACAGGGAACCAGGGATGGGGATGATGCATGGGGGACCACGGATGGGGGAACCCCACAGATGGGCACCCCACAGATGGGGGGACCATGGTTGGGGACCCCAAGGACAGGGAACCATGGATGGGGGGGGACCCCATGGACAGGGGACCATGGATGGGGGGGGACCCCATGGACAGGGAACCAGGGATGTGGATGATGCATGGAGGACCACGGATGGGGGGACACCATGGACAGGGGACTGGGGATGGGAATGATGCATGGAGGGCCCCATGGATGGGGACCTCACGGATGGGGACCCCAGGGATGGGGGACTTGGGATGGGGACAGTCCATGGGGGACCATAGACAGGGAGCCCCACGGATGGGGGGACCCCATGGACGGAGACCCCATGGACAGGGGACTGGGGATGGCAATGATGCATGGGGGACCACAGATGGGGGGATCCCACGGATGGGGGGACCATGGCTGGGGACCCGACAGGGACCCATGGATGGGGGGGACCCCATGGACAGGGAACCAGGGATGTGGATGATGCATGGAGGACCACGGATGGGGGGACACCATGGACAGGGGACTGGGGGTGGGAATGATGCATGGGGGCCCCATGGATGGGGACTTCACAGATAGGGACTCCACGGATAGGGACCCCAGGGATAGGGGACCATGGACAGGGTCCCCCACAGATGGGGGGACCCCATGGATGGAGACCCCATGGACAGGAGACTGGGGATGGGGACAGTACATGGGGGACCACGGATGGGGACCTCACGGATGGGGACAATGCCTGAGGGACCATGGATGGGAACCCGGAATGCATGGGGGACCATGGATGGGAACCAGGGATGGGGACACCATGGATGCAGGACACCATAGATGGAGACTGGAGATGGGGGGAACCATGGATGGGGGAGTGGGAATGGTGGGGAGCAGGGATGAGGGACACCATGGCTGGATAGGGGGACACCGAGGATCAGGGGACCAGGCATGGGGACCATGGGTGGGAACTGGGGATGGGGACACCATGGATGGAGAGTGGGGATGGGGGACACCAGGGATGGAGGACACAGGGAATGGGGGACACCATAGGTGGGAACAAGGGATGAGGACCAGGGATAAGGGAGTGGAGATGGATGGGAACAACATGGATGGAGATGGCAGGAGGGACACATTTAGGGGATGAGATGCAGTGGCCTGCAAGGGGTGCAAGCCCTGGGGTTGGGGACCGAGGGACGAGATACAGTGGGGTGCAAGGGGGTGCGTGG